TTCCAGTAACCATGAATACTAGCAAAAGAAAACCTCACTAGTTAGAAGTAAATAGAAAGATGGCTGGTCTGAGAGCAAGATTCTTTTCTAATTGAAGAATATTTACTTGCAAATTCATGAATTTTCAATCAATAATGGGCAAAACTTACTTCCAGTAAAGTTAAATTTCTGCTAGCTTTGATGAATGAAATTCATTTCTAATTAATATATTGATTTTGTATATGCAAATGTACTTTCAAAGGGCTTGACAAACTTTCTCCTAAATTGATTTACCAGGTCTCCTACAATTTGGTAGTCCTTCTAGTTTGATTACTAAGCCTTTTGCTGTTGTTGTTGAAGTTGTTCTCAAAGCACCTCAAATGTAAACTTCAGCTCATTTCAGATCAAATATTCTGAAATTCTGAGTTTAGAAAAGCCAAAATACATAAAGTTTTACAGCATGAATATTTCTTGGATGTTCAATATAATAGCATATATATAGCTATTTTAAATGTAAACATTTATGACTTGGCACTCTTAATCTATTCATAATTTTAAAATTAATAATAAAATCAGAATTCAAACTATCTACCAGAAAGGGCTAATAAGAGCTCTTTCCTGTGTGTGTATATATATGTACAGAGATATGTATATATGTATGTAATACTGAAATGTCCCTGAGAGCAGGGACTGTGTACTTAGCCTAGTAATGGATGTAATGGATGCCAATATATTTTTAAATTTTAAATTTAAATTTTAAAATTCACTCAACAAAATTTTTTGAGCAAATACCCTGTGCCCAGAACTGGGATATGAAATGAAGATACAAATATAAATAAAACAATATGAATATATGTTTATTAAATTGAAATGAAAAATGATCACACATAGTCTTGCCAAATTTTATACAAAACATATCCTCTCCATATTAAACTTAGCATACAATTCCATAAGTTATAGTTTGGTCCCTGATGGAAAAAAAATTAAATTTATTCCTGAACACATTTGGTATAACAATTTTTACGTTGAGAAATAATTTTTCTAAATGAGTAAAACTGCCTTCTGAAAAAACAAGTCAATAAAATTTCAAGAGCAATCCAAAAGATAAACAATAAAAAGCTGCCTCAGAAGAGCCAAAACCAGAAGTTATTATTCAACTCAATGTCACAATAATAGTAAATTCATCCAAGAACCAAAGGAAAGTCCAAAATTTCAAAAGCAGGTTATTCTGAAAACAGGACATAAAATACAATATCTTTATTTTCTTTTCTTAAGAAAATGCCTCTAGATATAGCAGAGCACCAATAGCAAACTAAAATATTGTTCATATACTATGATTTGCACCAATGGAGGTAAGCTGTGACTTGGAGCATTTGAATGCATAGATGACTCCAAATCTTCAGTTTTCTTTTTTTCCACATATATTTATTGTCATAACTAGTTTTGGTGAAATAAATAGTAAAAATAGTTTGCTTTCTCCAATAGTGAGAGGAAGTAGCACCTTAAACCTAAATGTTCGCAAAGATAATATATGTACAATTCTTGTAAAACAAGACTTTGAGATCCTTTAATGAAACGACTAAATCTTTGAATCCTTTACTCTATACATTTATGCACCATCCAGCACAGTACCTTGCACAGAATAGGTGTTCATAACACAACTGGTAAATGAATAATTCATTTACAAAAAAATCAAAATTCAATGCTCATGTATGAAAAGAAATATTTTTAATCTTCTGGTAGTTTTGTTATATAACAGATACACAATAATTCTGGATTTTACTTTTTTGAACAAACATAATAAATAACTTTTGTGTATTCATTCGGTAATACTAGCTACACTAACAAACATGTCCCCAAATTTCAATGGAGTTTATTTCTTCTTGGTGTAAAGTCTAACGCAGATTTTCCTAGTAGGTGGGTAGCATTCCTCTATGTGGTAATTCAGACACTCAGCTCTTTCCATTTGGAGTTATGCCTTTCCCTGGGCCCTAGAAGCATCTGCACTGAGCTAAAGGATGGGCGCCCATAGGCTGACAAATGCTTCTTTGCTGCTTAACTGCCTTGGCCCGAATGTGATGAAAACTTCAGCCCATTGACCAGAACTAGTTACACGGACCTACTTAGACACAAGCAGGCACAGGCCAGACAATGGAATCCCCACCTGGGCAGGTGCTTGCCAGAGAGTAGACTAAGAAAGGGGAAATACAGTTTCTTAGTACAGCAAGTTGTTTTTCACCAAGGTTTTTTTCCTTTCTTTTTGTTCATAAGCAGAGGACATTGTCAAAGTCAGCAATCAGGAAATGCAGTAATTTCTTGAAAAGTGTAAGGTAATTTTATGCAAATGCTAATATAATCAAGGACTACTTGGACAGTCTAACAGAATTAAAAAAAATGGCAGTAGCAGATAGTAGAACATCTGAAAAAATACCTGAATAAGAAAGATGATTTGGCTATTGCAGTAGGCCACGTATGTGGACGTAACTAGTCCCTAGGTCCCATTTTGTTTAAGATGTGCTTGTGTTGCAACAGTATGGAACCACACACACACATTACACGCACCTGGTGATAATAAGATGTATTGTAAAGTGATTATAATTCATGACTTTTTTCCCACACATACCTCAGCTAGGAGGTGTCACAGACTTGCAACAGACTGAAGGGCGTGCCTCAAAGGTGTGCCTTTATTTCCTATCTGTATCATAAAACTTTTCTATGGTGCTGACATTGTAAGCCTTCTGATCTCGGTTCAAAGATATTTTTCCTAAACCTGAAAAGTGAGTCCAACTAACGGTGGGAACTGCATCTCTGTTTGCAACGTGTGGGAGAGAACCTCCTGGCCCAGGAAGTGGGCATCCCTGAACAGGGTTTCCTGGTCCTGCCTCAAGCAGGCCCTCTTCTTCACCCACAGGGCTTGGCATCCTTGCCTCGCTCTGCTCTGTGCCATCTGGCTAGGGACCAACTTCCCAAATCTGCCTTAGCAACTAGCTCTGCAGTGCTCAGGAGGCTGTTTTCAACAACCCCTTCCTGAGGCGATACAGTGGCCTCTCAGAGCTCATATTTTATGATAGTTCTACTCGACTTTAGGCTTTACTGAGAGCAAGTGCCATTTTCAAATACCACCCTCTCATAACCACCCCCCCACCCCCCACAAATTACCTACCACAGTGTCCGGCACATAAAAGGAGCACAATACATATTAAATGTACTGTCAGCCTAATTGCTACAGGCTATCCTGGGCTTGTGAGTTGGGCAGCAGAATCTTGGAGCCAGTGGCACACACCCTGCATGGTCTCCTTTGCTAGGAGGCCTCCACCGAGGTTCACCGGCTTTCTAGGGTGAGCTCCTAGTCTTTGCAGGCCACACCAGCAGCATCAGTTAATTGCTAAAACTTATCTTCAAGTTTGAACTTTAATCCCTGTCCCCAAAACACTTCTGGCTGCACCTCCTAGCTCCTTAAGTCTTTTATTAGGCCTTTTACTGGGCTCATGATCCAATTCAGGAAATAGGAAAAACCTGATATTGAAGGAATTTGGAAATAAAACAGGAAGGATGAAGGGTGAGAAATTTATTCAGCTCTCTTCATTATTCCCCAAGAAGCTCCAACCTCCTTGCCCGTCCTTGGTGTTGAGGTTGCTCTGAGAGAGGGGCTGTGCGGAGGTGACCTTCTGGGAGAGGGAGACCCGCTCCTCATTCTGCAGCGCGGCAGGCAGGTCAGAAAGGAGATTTGGGCCACTGTCACTCTCTGGCCTCCCGCGCCTCGAATTCTCTCTTTTGGTCTCCTTCCAACGGGGGGGAGTGGGGATCCACCTTGGGCTTCAAGGTCCTGCAGGCATCGGGAGCACCAAGTGGGTGTCGGGTGATTGGAAGCAGTGGGGAAGGGAGATGTGGTGTCACCAGTCCCGACCAGTGGCAGCGCGCGCGCGTGAACAGGGAAAAGGCGCCGGTCTCCCGTGTTTCTCCCGCCTCTCATTTCTCCCTAGACACTGCCAGGGCTGTCCCGGGTGACTCAGAGTTGCCCGGGGTCGCGTGGATGCCCGTCCCCATCCTCCCTGGATAGCCTGCTTCCGCGTCCCACAGCGCCCCGCACACCCGCCACGTCCCCGGCCCGCGGCGCTCGGGGGCGGCCCCCTCCTCGGAAGGTGTGGGTGCACGGGTGGGAAACATTAACCACCACCACACCGCCCACAAAAAAGCCCCCAAAGCAAAAACCGCTGTACACCCATGGCAGGCGGGGCCCGGCGCCAAGGTGATCTGTTCGTTCGCCGCCGAGGCGGCGATTCCCCCGGACAGCTGCGGCAGCGACAGCAGCTGCGCGGCCGCCAGCTCGGCGCTCTTCCTTCCTCCGCCCTCTCCGGCCGCCGCACCCCCACCTCTTCCCCTCTCCCTGCCTCCTCCCTTCTTGCCCTCTCGCGGGCCACGCACACAGCCGGGACACCCTCGGCACTCGGCTGCTCACACTGCGGCTTAGCCCGGCCGACCTGGCACCGTGGCCACGGCGGCTCGGGGAGCGTGCGGGGCGCAGGGGCGGCAGCCCAGCGGGCTGGGCTGGAGCCCCTCTCCTCCCAGCCGCGACCCCCTGCCCACGCTGCTCCCCTAATCCCGGCCTTGCAGCCACACGAGCACCTGAGCGGGGACCGGGCGGTGGAGGCGCAGGCCCGCCGGCCTGGCCTCGGAGAAAACAGCGGGGGCGGGGCGGCCAGGAGGAGGGGCGGGGCGCGCGGGAGGCGGTGGGTGCCGCGCGCGCCAGCCAACCAGCGCCCGCCGCTCCGACGTGGGGCGGGAGCGGGTGGGCTCCGCGGGGAGGAGGCGGCGGCCCGGGCGCGGGAGGCGGGGGCCGGCGGGAGGAAGGGGAGGAGGCGGCGGCGGCGGCGGAGGCGGCGGAGGGCAGGCTGCGCCGGGACTGTCTGCCGAGCTCCGCGGCGGTGCCTGTGAGTGCAGGAGCGCGGGAGGCAGAGGGGAGCGCGGCGAGCGCGGCGCGGGACGTCTCCGGCGGCGCGGACAGCGGCGCTGGGTGTGGGGAAGCAGCGGCAGCAGCAGCGGCGGCCGCCTTTCCGCCGCCGGGGACGCCGAGGCGCGGCTGGTGGCACTGACATCGCGGCCCTGCCTCTCCTCCCTCGCCCCCGGCCCTCCCCATGTGATCGGCTTTAATCCCGGCAGTGTGCGCGCGTGGGGCTCCATTCCGCGGTGCCCGGTCTCCGTGCCAGGGTGGGTGCTCGGTGTGCGCTTCTCCTCCCCATCCCCCTTCCCCCGAGAATAAAAGAAGAACCGAGAGGCGTGCTCAGAAAATAAATAAATAAGCAGCACACACGCGCAGCCCGGAGCGGAGTCGGCGGGGCTGGCGGCGGCGGAGGAGTGAGGCGGCGGCGGCGCGGGGACGCGCGGAGAGGCAGCAACTTTGAAGCCAGCTCACAGCGCGGAGCTCCGGCCGAGCGGCGTGCAGCGCGGCGGCGGCGGCGGCGTTGAGTGTCTGGCCCGCCGGTCCGGTCGGGGTGTGCAGTCGGACGGACGAGCAGCGCGTCGCTGTCCCCCGGCGGCTGGAGATGTCCGAGCCCAAGGCAATTGATCCCAAGTTGTCGACGACCGACAGGGTGGTGAAAGGTAAGCGGCGCGCCGCGGCCGCCGGGTGCACCGGGTGCCGCAGGCTCCTGGGCGGCTCGCTGCCCCTCCCCCGCCCGGGTTCTCCTGCTCCAGCCGCCGACCTTCTAGGATATTGTGCAACCCTGAAACCCCTTCCCCCACGCCTCCCACCCTGCCCACTTGGGGCATTTTTATTGACGGGGGCGTCAGTTGGCAAATGGCTGAGCCGCGGGCAGGCGGCGGCGGGGGTGGCGGTGGCGGGAGGGGGCGCCCGGGGGGTGGTTGCTGGCAGGGTGTAGCTGCTGTGACAGAAATAGGAAGTGGGTGGCTGCTCGCAGGCTTGCATGGGATCGGGTTTATGGTTTTCTTTTGCAGAGGGAGGGGTGATTTATGGCTGAAAAAAAATTAATGTGGCATTTTTATGTGGCCGTGGCTTTCCACCGACTGCCTTGCTCGGGCACGGTTCTCTCGGCGCCCCATTGCAGCAGTTCCCTCGGCGGCGCCCCCTCCGCCTCGCCCTGCCCTGGAAGGGCCTGCACAGGACTCGCGAGAGGGCGGGAGAGCGTGGGGGAGCCGGGCGCTCCCTGGGGCGCGGGGCCGGGGCGGCGAGGGGGCGCGCGGGGCGGGGAGCCTCCCGGGGCCCCCCGCCCCCGCCCCGGGATTCCCCCGCAGGCCTGAGACCGACGCGGGAGGCAGTTCCCCCCGCCGCCTCCCCCGCCGGCCTGTCACGCTCTTGAATGGTCCCGGCTGGAGCACGCCTCCCGGCGGTAGCCTCGCCTCCTCCGGGCCTCCGGCACCCCCTCGTTAACGGGCTGTTTGATTCCTAATACTGGCTCTTCTCCCCTGCCGCGGATCACATACCCTTGGCAGAGATGGCTCTGGGGTTTCTGGCGAAGAGAAGCCGGGGGCCTGGGGTGAGGAAGGGGACAGGCAGTGGTCTCCTGCTCCGTTGCACGGGGGACTCCGCAGTCGTCTCGTCTTCCCTGTTGGGTGGGGGAGGAAGCATCCTACGAATCCTGGAGGGATGAGACAACAGAGCAGATCAGCCAGGATTAAGTAGCGTTCCTCATTCCTGGGGTCAGAACGCGGAGCAAAGCAGGGATGGACATGGGCTAGGTGCGGAGCGGGCCTCTGAAATTGGAAACAGCGCTGGCTGGTGTAGAGGGAGAGAGAGAGTGTGTGTATGTGTTTATTGTATGTAGAACAGAGATAGTTATCTGATGTGGCCAGAGATTGCAAGTAGAGTGCGAGGCAATAAAGTCATTTGCACCATGAGCACTTAGGTGAAGTAACCCCGCAGCCTGAAGACCAGGAATCGTAAGTTCTTCTGGGGCTCAGAACTGTTCATCGGTTCCAGTCAGGTCTGCTCAGTTTTTAAAGTAATGCGTGTGTGTGTGTTTTGTGTGTGTTCGTGATGATGGGGGAAATTGTGTTCTCTTTTTTAAGAAAGAATAAAATATCTTCTTTTGTTTTGGTTGTATTAGAATCATTCCTGCTTCAGTGCAGTATTCATAGATCCATGAAAATAAGGAGGAAATATCTTTGCAAAAATGACTCAAAATAGGACTACAGATGCACAGCTATTCTTTCTGCAGGCATGGATCCTCATGTAAACAGTGAATTCAGAGTCATTCAGAAAAACTATGTTTTGCATTAAGGGCTTCTGTTGACATTTTCAAAAATTAAGACTCTGCTGAAGTATCAGAGAATAACAAATATCTATCTAATGTGTGATGGTTAGGTGTAACCCCCATCTGTATGTTAAGATCACCTATTTTCAAAACAATTAATGTAAAGCTTGCAATTCAGATGACAGCAATAATCACTCATATGTGTGCACATAAGGTTATGTTCCCTGTTTTAAATTACAAAGTGTGGATTCTTAAAGTAAATGTAAAATTGTTATCAAGTGAAGAATGTAAAAATAATTGTTCATACATTCTGGCTTGGTGTCTTTACCAGTTAAAGTGCAAGAGCCCGTTCAACCATCCCATGGCTGTTTTGTCTTGCTTTCTTCCAATGCTGTATTATATATATTACTATAAATGATTTTTCATTATAAGTATGCATACCCACCCATAATTCCAAAAATTTGGTTTACGTTAGTTTTTGCAGAACTGAATTGCAAATGTGGGTAATATACTCAAAATAGGAAAAATAAATTTTGTATTTGTTTTGATAGGGATCTTGATGTGAAATTTTAAATGTAAATTTTGTTTATAGAAAAAAGGTTTGTTGATGAATTCTCATTTTAAGGTGGACACACTGTTGCTATTTCTGTTATGCTTTCTTATAAACTTTATGTTGTTGGCTTAAAAGGCTTTATCAAACATTGGATTCAACATTTTGTCATATGTATGATTTTTACAGTTAGTTATTTGAGGTGATAATCTGTTTTGATGGTCAGTCTTCTGTGAAATAGCACTTCCCCTTGGATATGTAGACACACGAGTAGAAAGTATATGTATGGTGAATGGAAAAGAGATTAACAAATGATTTTTCATTTTTACAGGAATTAGACAAGACATAGTTCATGAAAACATGACTTTACTCTAAATTTTGTTAGAACTTCCTTTCACTGGTCTGAAATTGACTCGTTCTTTAGTGCAGGAAAAGGTATCCTTCAGGAGATTTTTGTGCTTTTTAAGCTTTCTCTCCTTTTACAAAGTACAGGTAGTATTTGCTTACGTACAGAAATGAGAAGTATTTGGATGGTCGTTACCATGGCAGGCCATGGTGTTTGTTTACAGTCATTGTCATTAGTGTGATCTGGCCTTTGTTGTCTAATAATTGCTCTTTACAAATAAAGCTGTGCTTGTGGTTTTGTTTGTAGTAATATGATGATGTGATGGCTTTCTTGGTTTGTGCTTCCAGAATGCAGCTTTAGAAAGGTAGGTTGAGTTTAAGTCTCTCAACTAACTATGTAATTTTTCAGGCTTGCAGTTTCTTCTAGAATATGTTCAGAGACCCTAATCAGTTATCTAAACCTTAAAAATGAAAGGGAATGACAGCATTGGAGATGAAAAGCATTCATTTAGTTTACCTCAGAAAAAAGTTACTTTATTTAGCAAAATTGGTGCTGTTTCTTTTTCACTGTTCTTGGATAAAAACAATAGAAAGCATAAAAAGTCAGAGAAAATGTCTTGGTAATGCCATTTGTTGGAAATCAGAATAATTTGATCCATTTACATTTTCTTTTAAAGCAGTCTTGCATAACTGTAAGACAAAAGACCTAGGGCCGTAAATGGAAGAATAACTATTCCCCTCCCCTCAATGCACCCCATAGTCTGGTTTTTCTCTGCAGTGGTGCTCCACAGGCCTCGGTCCAAACTTCGGCCTCTCTTCATTTCTCCCTGCCTTTAACTCCTCGTCTGGCCCTAGCCTTCCCTCCTGGCCATGGGATTTTGCTACATGACAGTGAAATACTTGGAGGAAATCAAACTGTGTGATGAGTGCCTTGCTTCCTTACGTCTCTTGCCCTTCCCTGTGTTCCCGTCTCTAAATATTTTGTAATGGGCGTTTCACCTTAACGCAAGCTGATGTTAATGGTAGAAGTTCTAGATACCATGGCAGGTTGTTTAGAGGGATAAATTCCTGGGAATTTCTCAAAAACTCTAGGTGGGGAACTCGAGTGCTTTGTGTCAGGTTGCTTTTGGCTGCAGGGAATGCAAAAAAGGAGCTGTCTTCCTGTGTATTGTCAATTTATATACTGTTTGTGTAGACAAACTACATGTAGGGAAATTCAGGAAGGATATCTAAGAACATGTAAGCGAGAAGGTGGTAGCTAAGTAAAATATTAAGTAAATAAGGATTCAAGCCACCGGTGTTTCTAGCTTAATGAGACTGGTAACACTACTTAAAAAGAAACAAAAATATGTTACATCAGTAATAAGAGTGGTGTTTGGATCTTGAAATGGTGTAGTAAATAATGCCTTTTCTTTGTGGTGTGTCAAGAAGAGCTCATTGTGAATTTATTTTACTGACTTGTTACCATCAGTTGAGTTATTCCATGTATCTGGTTTTCCATTTGAGTATAATAAAACCTTGTTAATTCAGTGTCATTAATTGAAACTTACAGTGATTAAACGTCATTGTTGATGCTGAAGTTTATGTCAGCGCTGGATGTGGAGAAAGGGGTCTGCTAATCTGGTTTTTAGTACTATGCACAGCACGATTGGAGCATGGTCAGTATACTTGAGAGAACAAATTCTTTTTAGGACTTAGTGAACAGCATGCGAATTAATGCTGTAATTACAAATTAGATTGATCTGTTTACTAATATTTCCTTTCAGGATTTCTACTATAAAGTAAATGTAACACAAGTGCATTGTTTTCAAAACATTTTGTAAACTTAAGGCTTAAGGCAACAATTAAGACTGGGATTCAGAGAAATTCCAGTGATTCTAAAATGCCATCAGGGCCGGCCCCGTGGCTTAGCGGTTAAGTGCGTGCTCTCCGCTGCCGGCGGCCCGGGTTCGGATCCCGGGTGCGCACCGAGGCACCACTCCTCCAGCCATGCTGAGGCCGCATCCCACATACAGCAACTAGAAGGATGTGCAGCTATGACACACAACTATGTACTGGGGCTTTGGGGGAAAAATAAATAAATAAAATCTTTAAAATGCCATCAATTAGAAGAATTAACATTTAAAAAGTAATAGTTTTGGGGGAACTGTGGGGAAGAACCTCTACTTTAAATGAGTAATCTATTTGAAGACACCCAGTTAAAATGTGAAAAAAGTAACACCTTAGAATCTAGTTAGAGGTTTACTCTAACGTTTGTTTATATTAGTTTAAAAATATGCCTTTTTAAATCTATTTGTTTCTTTATGACCTGTTTTTATTGTAATTTTAGAGATATGAAATATGACTTTGATAAACTGTGCATTTATACCTTTTATAATTGGCCTCTTATGTTTTCCTTATCTTTTTTGTGTCAGCCATGTGTAAAGTTGAAACTAATTATGAAACCAAATAAAGAATCCGTTTAGAGTGACCTTATTGGAAAACAGCATTTTTCT